TACTACAATAGGCCACCCTACAAAGCCTAGGAGACGTAGCAACTCTACCTAACACATAGAAAGAAGCACAGGGAAACAGCCAAAATGAGGAGACAAACATGTCCCAAATGAAAGAACAGAGCAAAACTTCAGGAAAAGAATTAACCGAAACAGAGATCAGCAATCTAACAGATGCAGAGTTCAAAACACTGGTTATAAGGATGCTCAATAAACTTAGTGAGGGCTTCAAGAGCGTAAAAAAGGACCAGTCAGAAGTGAAAGAGGGACTTACTGAAATGAAGAATAATTTACAGGAAATCAATAGTAGAGTAGGTAAAGCCAAGAAGCAAACCATCGATTTGGAATGTAAGGAAGCAAAAAACACCCAATCAGAATAGCAAAAAGAAAAAAGAATCCAAAGAAATGAGGACAGTGTAAGGAGCCTCTGAGACGACTTCAAGCTTAGCAACATTTGCATCATGGGGGTGCCTGAAGGAGGAGAGAGAGCAAGAAAATGAAAACCTATTTGAAAAAATAATGACAAAAGACTTCCCTAACTTGGTGAAGGAAACAGACATACGAGTCCAGGAAGCACAGAGTCCCAAACAAGATGAACCCAAAGAGGCCCACACCAAGACACATCATCATTGAAATGCAAACGGTTAAAGACAAAGAGAGAATCTTAAAAGCAGCAAAAGAAAAGCAGTTTGTTACTGACAAAGAAGCTCCCCCATAAGACTATCAGCCGATTTCTCAAAAGAAACTTTGCAGGCCAGAAAGGAGTGGCGAAAGATATTCAAAGTGATGAACAGCAACGATCTACAACCAAGATTACTCTATCCTGCAAAGCTACAGTATCATTTAGAATTGATTGCTATATACAGAGTGTCCCAGACATGAAAAAGTTAAAGGAGTTCATCACCACCAAACCAGTATTAAATGAAATGTTGAAAGGTCTTCTTGAAGGAGAAGAACAAAAATATGAACAATAAAATGGCAATAAATAAATATCTATCAACAGTGAATCTACAAACAAAATGAGCAAGCAGAACAGAAACAGACTCATAGATACAGAGAACTTTTTGTTGCTTGCCAGATTGGCGGGGGCTGGGGGAATGGGTGAAGAAGAGGAAGGAATTAAGAAATACAAATTGGTTGTTAGACTGATGAACCTCAAAGGGAGGGGGGAAGGGAGGGCGGGAAGAAATAAACCAAGGAACTTTTATGCATATATGCATAACCAATAGACACAAACAATAGTGTGGGGAAGGCAGGAGGGGGGCGGAATTGGGGAGGAGGAGGTCAATGGGGGAAAAAGGGAGGACATCTGTAATACATTTAACAATAAAGATAAGTTAAATAAAATAAAATAAATGGCTGGAAGAGTAATTAAAAGTATTTGAGCCCTGGCCTGTTTGGCTCAGCGGTTAGAGTGTCGGCCTGCGGTCCTGAGAGACCCGGGTTTGGTTCCCGCTAGGGGCGCGAACCTCGGTTGCAGTTTGTCCCCGGCCCTGGTTGGGTTGTGCGGGTGGCAGCCACTCGATGTGTTCCTTTCACGTCGATGTTTCTCTCTCTCTCTGTTCCTCTCTCTCCCTCCCACTCTACCTGAACAACAACAACAACAAAAGTATTTGATATATAGCCCTGGCTGGTTTGGCTCAGCGGTTGGAACGTCGGCCTGTGGACCAGAGAGTCCCAGGTTCAGTTTCCGCTAGGGGCACTTACAAAAAAAAAAGTATTTGACATATAGAGTGATGTTTATGCATATAAAATTTTAAGAATTATTCAATACTGTTCATAAGGTCATTTTAGTAAATGGTTACTGAGCAGTTACTATCTTACGAGATTTTTTTTTTTATCCTCACCCGAGGACATTTTTCCATTTTTTTGTTCAGATAGAGTGGGAGGGAGAGAGAGAAACATCGACGTGAAAGGAACACATCGAGTGGCTGCCACCTGCACGACCAACCACGAACGGGATACATGCCCTTAGCGGGAACCGAACCCGGGTCTCTCTGGACTGCAGGCCGACTCTCTAACCGCTGAGCCAAACTGGCCAGGGCTCTTATGAGATATTTAAAAGGAATACCAAACTCAGTACCAGTAACTAAAATTTAAACTTTGTTGCTAAATCACTATTATTACTTCTTTTTAAGTATTTTTTCTCTATTCATTTTATTATTCCTCACCCGAGGATATCCTATTTATCATTAGCTAGAGTGGGAGGGAGAGACAGAGAGAAAAATCAATGTGATAGAGCCTCATCGACTGGCTGCCTCCTGCGTAACCCGACCAGGGCTGGGTCGAACTGCAACCGAGGTATGTGCCCTTGACAGGTATCGAACCTGTGACTCACTGATCCGCGGGACAGCGCTCTAACCACTTAGTAAAATCGGCCAGGTCTTCTTTATTGATTATAGAGAGAGAGGAAGGGAGAGGGAGAAAGAGATAGAAACATCAATAAGAGTACATTGATAGTTCGACTTCTGCATGCCCCACACTGGGGATTTGGCCCACAACCTGGGCATGTGCCCTGACCAGGAATCGAACTGGCGACCTCTTGGTGCATTGGTTGACACTCAACTACTGAACCACACTGCCCAGGCTATTTTTGGTTTTAATAAAAATCAACAACCAAAGGGATACATTTTTTAGATACGGCCTTTTTTTTTTTTATCCTCACCCAAGGACATTTTTTCATTTTTTGATGGGGGGAGAGAGAGAGAAACATCAACGTGAAAGGTACACATCGAGTGGCTGCCACCCGCACGACCCAACCAGGGCCGGGGACAAACCTCAACCGAGATACGTGCCCTTAGCAGGAACCGAAACCGGGTCTCTCTGTACTGCAGTCTGACGCTCTAACCACTGAGCAAAATCGGCCAGGGCTGGATACAGCCTTTTAATAAGCTTGATTTAATGATCCTATAAGTGTCTTCTAGTTACCTTTCATTGTCTGGCAAAATACTTTCTTGTTCTTTCTCACTCTTTTTCTTCTTCTTTAAAAAAATTTGTTTTCTTTATTGTTTAGAGAGAGAGGAAGGGAGAGGAATAGAGAGATGGAAACATCAAGGAGAGAGAACCTCAATTGGCTGCTTCCTGCATGCCCTTCATTGAGGATTGGGTCCACAACCTGGGCATGTGCCCTGACTGGGAATTGAACTGGTGACCTCTTGGTGCATGGATCAATGCTCAACCACTGAGCTGCACTGGCCAGGCTTGTTCTTTCTCATTCTAATATTAATAAGGTAATAATCAATATCAGCTCTAAAATATATTATAGTCCTCTTGAATTATTTGTGACTTCCATTAAGGAAACAACATATTTGGCAATATAGCCAAATATGGCTATCCCATTGATCATCATAGCAATAAAACCTATATTACAGGCTTTCCATCATATGCAGAAAGATCATACATATATTCTCATAAAACATTTTGATCTGTGGTATAATAAAAAAAATTTATATTATTCCTTTAGCCTCTTTCTTAAATTGCTCTGTTTAGGAAAGTTGTAATTACCCCTTTATTGATACTAAATCAATAGATTAACTGTTAATAGTAAATAGTAGACTATCAGTTTATCAGAAGGACTTCTGCTACTAACTCCCTAGTTCATAATCTGGAATATGACAACTCCTGTGGCTTTATTTTTTTCACAAAGGTAGGGTAAACTCCATTACTTGCATGGGGGAAGAGTCAGAATCAAGAAAGACTAGCAACTTAAAACCTGAATAGAATCAAGATACCTAAAGTAAATCAAATCCTTGCAAAAAGGAACTTTGGTTCATGATAGCTTTCATTTGTTAACTTGATTTAATTTTTAGAAAAACAAAATGAAGACTTCAGTAATCTAATAGGTGAGTCAATGATAATCTCATACCACGTCAGAATACTTTTGCTTTAGCTTCCTTCTTTCACTATCTAGCTCTATGACCATTCCGTTTACTGGATTTAATTTGAAAACGGATTATTTTAGGATAGATCTCACAGATTTTCATCAGCTCTAAAAAAAAATTCTGATTTATGATTATGATTTTGACTTTTTTCCCTATAAAAAGTGTAATGAGTACAAATGGCTTTGGGATAATGTTACTTATTTTTCAAAAGTTACAACTACCCTATGCCAGCTTAAACAATTTGGGGTTTTTCTAATCAGGTTACATATTCATATGGTTCAAATGGGTATACAGTCAGATATGACAGGTTGCTGTTTTCTCTGCTCAACTGGATTGTTTTTTTTTACTATCACAAAGTTCTTGCTGAAGGATTATTATATTCTACTTTTAGCATCCACTTAACGTGTTGAAAGATGCTATTGAAACAGACTTTTTTTGTTGTTGTTATTCCTTACCTGAGGATATTTCTTCCATTGATTTTTAGAGAGAGTAGATGGTAGGGGCTGGGGAAGAAACATTGATTGGTTGCCTCCCAAATGTTCCCAGACCGGTCAGGGATTGAACCTACAACCCATGTACGTGCCCTTGACCTGGAATCAAACTTTAGATCCTTCAGTCCTTGGGCTGACACTCTAACCACTGAACCCCACTGGCTAGAGCCAGAGATTTCCTTTTTGCTAAAAATGAAAAATGGCAACATATTCTAAAAGAGAAACACTGATCCTATAAATTAACAGACAAAATAAATTGTTAAAAATTTTGTTGCTTTAGCACTTGGAATTTGTAGATGTTTCTCAATTAATGGTTTTATTTTTCTCTCATTTCCAGTCACTTGACCAGACCCATTGCACTGTTATATGTTCCTTATTTATATGTTTGTAACTATTTTTGTTTTGTTTTTTATTTTATTTTTAATCCTCACCCAAGGATATTTTTTTATTTATCATCACAAAGAATGGGAGGGAGGGAGAGAGAGAAATATTGGAGAGGGACACATCGACTGGTTGCTTCCCACACGACCTGACCAGCCAACGCTCTAACCACTGAGTCAAACTGGCCAGGCCTTGTTTTGTTTTTTAAATAGTTGATACTAATTATTGAAGTTCTCTGTCCTTTCCACAGAGTACGTCCTTTGCCACCTGACGACACAGATGACGAAAAAGAATAGAACTTTCTCATTCATCCTTGACTAAGGTCTCCTGTTTGCTCTGGTGTTCTGGGATGTAAATTTGCATAAATGTGTGTGTTCCAGTTATCTTTGTTGAGTTGACATTTAATTTAAAAACATGAGGGTTACATATAATTATTCAAAAGCAAGTAGTTATGATATTGCAAGGTTTATGAGATAATTATTCTCATATATTAGTGTTCAATGTAATGCAGAATTTGGTTTCTTTTACCTGTTTTTAAGCTTCTCATTCTTGCTAAAAAGAAATCATTGCATTTTGTATACAACAAATCTGCTGTATTTGAGATTGCTTAGATTTTTGTATTACTGCCATTTTTATTGGCATTAGATTTTTTTGGAATGGTGCCATGTTTTTGTTCCTTTTATTTGATTTAAAAAGCAGAGTTAGATTTCTGCACACTTTAAAAAATCAGTATTAATTAAACTGCACCTATATGCTTTTTAAGAATGGGGGCCAAAGATGCAATGTTGAAAAAATTTGATGACTGTCTGTCTTCTCTTTAGAAATATATAAGGGAAATTTGATATTGAGGATTTCAGGCAGGAAGATTTCATAGACTACATTAAACAAGAAGAATTTTCATAGAATATGCATTTGATTCGGTATCATAGAATATTACCCTTTCAAAATCAATAAAACATGAAAGGCAAATCATGCAATAAACCCAGAGCTATGTCTAAAGTTCTTAGAGCTACCATTATATTTTTCAAGATAACTGAAGAGGTGGGTATAATATTACATAGTAACAGAAATTCTTGCTTCCTCATCACATTTTTTTGCTCACTGACATCTTGTCAAAATTAACCATGTTTTAACAGATATGTTTTTCTGAAGTATGTTTTTAATAAATGAATACTTATTTTCACAATACATTATATCCATTTGTGTGCTTCCTAAGATTATATTCTACTAAATACTTCTATTTTATTTCTTCCAAATACAAATCAGTGCATTGATCTGATTTTATCAACTTCCAAACTGAGTCCTGATTATTCTAGATTACATTTTTTGCTTTGTCTTTTAGAGATCGATATTAAACAGAATGTTACTGAATTGCCAGTAGTTTTTATACTAAGTAGGTCCTTGATAATTAGGCTTCTTATTAAGGAGTAGCGCAAATCAACTCTATTAAAGTCAAGTTTTGATGGTTCTGAAACCTGATTTGTTATTTTTCACTGATGAAGAGAGAAACATTTTGGTGGTGTGTCCCATGAAGTTTAATTTTGCTAATGTAATTATTTCTGTAAAAAAAATTTTTTTTTCCCTTTATTGATATATTAGGGAGACAGAGGAAGGGAGAGGAAGAGAGAGATGGAAACATCGATGAGAGGGAACAGTGATTGGCCACCTCCTACAGCCCGCCACTGGGGATTTGGCCCACAACCTGGGCATGTGCCCTGACCAGGAATCCAACCGGTGACCTCTTAGTGCATGGGTTGATGCTCAACCACTGAGCCACACCAGCTGGGCTGATAACGTAATTATCTATAAAAAGACTTTGATCTAGTGAAACTACTGTCTTTACAAATATACAACATTTGATGATATCTGACTTTTATTAGGGAGAGGTCCCGTGTAACGTCTTTTTATCAAAGCTTTTTGAAAATGTCAATTCGTAATTTAGCCTCTTGTAAACATGAGAGAAGTATAGACTCTGTTTCCACTGAAACTGAATAAAAAACTAAAACTTATAAATTAAAAAGATAATTAAACTAATTTTGTACCTTCACAAAGCTAATCTGGTTTTCCTCTTTGGATTATTCAAATTGTTAATGCTAGTGTTAAATACCAGGCCAAACAATGATTAAAACTACTTTTCTGGAATTTTTGACTATTAGAACATTGTGAGGATCATATATATATATATATATGTATATATATATATATATATATATATATATATACACATATATATATACACACACACACACAGTGTTTAAATAGTTTCACAAAGAAAGAACGATACCAAATCCAAAATTATAAAGTGTGCTCAAATAATTATTTATAAGATGACAAATGCTTGTCTTTTTTTTTAAATCCTCACCCGAGGACATTTTCCCATTTTCTGTTCAGGTAGAGTGGGAGCGGGGGGAGAGAGAGAGAGAGAGAGTGAAACATCGACGTGAAAGGGACACATCTAGTGGCTGCCACCCGCATGACTCAACCAGGGCCGACACAAACTGCAACCGAGGTACATGCCCTTAGCGGGAACCGAACCTGGGTCTCTCTGGACTGCAGGCCGACACTCTAACCTCTGAGCCAAACCGGCCAGGGCAATGCTTGTCATTTTTTTAAAAATCAGAAATAAAGCCTAAACTAACCAAACCTTTCACATATGTATATGTACACTGTGTACAAATCTCACTGTATTTAGAATTCTTCAGGCTAAGTTACTTTTGGAAAAATTGAGCATTCAGTTGGGCCCTGGTCCAAACAACATTGTTATAATGGTTCCTTTTAACTTTGAGGATAGCATATAGATGTGGAAGTGATTTTTACTGACTCAAAACTGGGGGAATGTTAGAAGTCATCTTGTTCAACACCAGTTACAGCTGTTCATTGGGGAGACTTATTGGTTGGGTACTCTTGTTTCTTTTTTAAATTGAATTTTAGAGGGAGAGGAAAGAGAGAGAAACATCGATTGGCTGCTTCCAACACGCCCCCTACCAGGGATCAAGCCCAAAACCTGGGCATATGCCCTGATTGGGAATGAAACTGGTGACCTCTCAGTGCGTGGGATGGTGCTCAACCAACTGAGACACACTGGCCAAGGCTGCAACTCTTAATTATGAAAAATATTATGAGTTAAAATTTTGAATTTTTCTATCTTCCCTTTTCCTATTCTTGGTTCTGTCCTTGACATAACATAGAACAAGTTATTTCTTTCACATGACAACCTTCAAGTATTTAAAAAATTTTAAATATGTTCTTATTGATTATTTTAGTGAGAAAGATTGAAACATCAATGTGAGACAGAGATATCAACTGGCTGCCTCCTGCTCGTCCCTTATTGGGGATTGAGCACCAGGTTGTGCACATCCCGGGGATGTGCCCAGACTGGAAATTGAACCCAGAACTCTGAGTCCATGGGACAATGCTCAATGCACTGAGCCACTCCAGCTAGGTGTCAACTTTCAAGTATTTATTTACTTTTTAAACATTTTTTTTATTGCTTTTAGAGAGAAAGGAAGGGAGAGAAGGAGAGAGAGATAGAAACATCGATGAGAGAGACCATCAATTGGCCACCTCCTGCATGTCCCCCACTGGGGATCAGGCCCACAGCCTGGTCATGTGCCCTGACCAGGGAATTGAACCGGTGACCTATTGGTGCATGTGTTGACGCTCAACCACTGAACCACACGGGCAGGCAACCTTCAAGTATTTAAAGATGTTACATTTTTAGCTTTCTCTTCCTAAGGCTAGACATTTTATTGTTAATGTCACATATACCTTAAATTAGTTTCTCTTAAGTCCCTTGTGTATTGAGGATATGTGTCTTTTGTGTTGTGTATTGCTTAGGCACATAAATAATAAATTTGGCGCCCTGGCCGGTTTGGCTCAACGGTTGGAGTGTCGGCCTGCGGTCCGGAGAGACCTGGGTTCGGTTCCCGCTAAGGGCACGTACCTCGGATGCAGTTTGTCCCCGGCCCTGGTTGGTCGTGCGGGTGGCAGCCACTCGATGTGTCCCTTCACATCGATGTTTCTCTCTCTCTACCTCTCTCTCCCTCCCGCTCTATCTGAACAAAAAATGGAAAAATGTCCTCGGGTGAGGATTAAAAAAAATAATAAATAAATAAATTTGGCTACATTTCTTGTAACTGATCCAAGTAGTCATTAATTATTAGACTATATTTTTTGTATCTTTTATATTTGGTGACGCCAATAGAACTCCATGGTGTGGCTCAGTGGTTTGTTGTTGACCCATGCACCGAGAGGTCGCCAATTCGATTCCCAGTCAGGACACATGCCCAGGTTGTGGGCCCGATCCCCAATGGGAGGCATGCAGGAGGCAGCCAGTCGATGTTCTCTCTCATCGATGTTTCTCACTCTCTCCCTCTCCCTTTCTAAAATCAATAAAGGGGAAAAATTTTTTTTAATGCTTTTAAGAACTGAGAAAAAAGGCTGGAGGTCATATCTAAAGGATGAATTTACTGTACTGACTTCGAAGGGTATTTGAGATCTAGTCTAGATCTGAGAGCAGTGTCTTACAATTTATTTATTATTGCTCTGGCCAGTTTGGCTCAGTGGTTGGAATGTCAGCCCATGGGTCAATGAGTCTTGGGTTTGATTCCGGTCAAGGGTATGTACCTCAGTTGCAGTTCTTCCCCAGCCCTGGCCGGGTCATGCCGAGGCAGCTGGTCGATGTGTCTGTCTTGCATCAATGTTTCTCTCTCTCTCCCCCCTATTTCCCTCTCTCCCACTCTATCTGATGATAAATAGAAAAAAATCCTCCAGTGAGGACTATAAAAAAAGAATTTATTATTATTATTTTTAAAAATCCTCACCTAAGGATATTTTTTCCACTTATTTTCAGATAGAGTGGAAGGGAGGGGAAGAGAGAGAGAGAAACACCCATGTGAGAGAGACACATCAATTGGTTGCCTCCCGCATGACCCCTACCAAGGCCAGGGACCACTTATTTATGCAATCACTGGTTGATTCTTGTATGTGCCCTGACAGAGGATGGTACCTGGAAACCTTGGCATATGAGAAGGATGCCCTAACCAACTGAGCTACAGGGGCAGGAGTGAAAGTTTTTTTCTGAGTGGAGGATTAAATTTCTTCCTCCTTCCCAATCTTGATTATGAGCTTCCTTTGGCCTTTTCTCTTTGCTTTTCATTTAAGGATTAAAATCACTTCACTTGGTCCTGCTGGTGTAGCTCAGTGGTTGAGCATTGACCAAGAAGTCACTGGTTCGATTCCCGGTCAGGACACATGCCCAGGTTGTGGGCCCGATCCCCAGTGGGGGACATGCAGGAGGCGGCCAATCAATGTTCTCTCTCATCAATGTTTCTCTCTCCCTCTCTCTCTCTCTCTCTCAAATCAATAAAGGAAAAAAATTTTAAAGTCACTTCACTTGATTTACAGTGAATCTTTTGTTTTCTCTTTCACTTGACTAGGTTATTTCCAGATCATACACAAACATGTACAATCCTTACTAAAAGATAGGGGAAGACAAAACTCACCATTCCATTTGAGGGGCTGTCAAAGGAGAACGAAGTGCATGAGGAAGCTTTTGTAACACTTAAGATTTAAAAAACCCAATTGAAACACAACTGAAAATCCACAAGAGGGAGATGCTTGCTAAACTGCCAGAAAAGATTACTCCCACAAGGGACCAGAGAGAGCCTTAAGAGGAGCCAGTGGGTTGGCCTGGGACTCAGTGGGAGGAAGCAGGTTTTTCTAGTGGCTGGGGGATGGGGGTCGAGGGGTGGGTACCGATTAAGAGAAAAGTAGAATGGGCTTTGTATCTCAGGCTATGCAGCGTGCGCTGTAGCACCAGGAGCAGAAAGTAGAAGGGTGTTGCCAAAGAAGAGGACGGGCTCCCATCTACCTCCAGATAGTCCCAGAAGAAATGAGGGTGTTGTCTTTAAGGCACTTCCGCTTAGCAACCACACGCGGTTGCTAAGGAGGGGCAGTAGCGGGGATGACCCGGAAGTGGTGGTGTCCATTTCTTGCTGCCTGCTTTAAGTTTGTCCTATCCAGAGCGTCCGGGTGCTTTG